ATAAGCGCACAAATCACTCGTTCATGATAGAAGTAAATGTTTTCGTGCTGCGATTTTCATTATGAACGTAGCTGAATTCGCGAGCTTTTATTTCTATTGGTATCCATTGGTTTTGGCTGTTTTCTCGTTCCCTGGAAGGGTAGCACGCCATTTATGCAGAACCGAGACTGTGCACTGCGATCAAATTGATAAGATCTCCTACACGTCATGTCGCATTTTAAGAAAAAAATCTTCACTTTTCACAGCTCTATCTTCGTGTTACCCAAGATCCAAAAACACTGATTTAGCCCTTTCACGTGCAGGAGCGATGGAGTTGTAAATTTTTCCTGTAAAATCCATACATAATCCAGCAAACAGGTTATGATTTTACTTTAACTCACCAGATAGTATTTGTCATCTTGACCATAACACCAAATTCTCACTAGACATTTACATGAAAACGTGAAACAGCTAGAGGGGAGAATTCGCAATCAGATCTTCAGGGGCTAATGGATTAGGTTATAAGATGACAAAGAATCAGCAACCAGAAAGGATTTTTTTCACTGACTTTCTTTATTGTCAGTCAATTTCCACTACATTTTCCAAGCAACGGTAAGCAATCACTTTATACTACTTCCAACATGTTTTTTATTCAAATTATCACCGAAATGTTATCGAACACTCGAGATTCAACGAAAAAGAAAACCAAGACAAACTTTTCCAAACATGTTTAACTCGGCTCAGCTTTATCACAAGCATTTCCTAACTTTGCCGTATTAATAATTACTACTTAAATATTTGACATCAACTTACACCTCGTCAGTCAGTTGAGCGTTTTTTTTTTCAGAATTTCTTTTTTTTAATTGTTGCAAATGCCGTTGTGACTCCTACACCATATTAGAACTCAAACTAAAATCAACGAAAATCAGATTTCTCGTGCTGATCTACTTTTGAAGTATCGTGCCCCAACAAGAACATGAAGCTGTGCAGTGTTATCAGCTTAACACATGATCTGTTTAACAGTGGCTTTTGAGAAAAATTTCTGTCATGGCAACCACTGGCGCCCCAGTAGGGACTTGTGGGAATGGTCCACTTGAGCCAGCAATGTCAAAGTGTGAGTAGCAAAGTGGGCGCTCTGAGTCGATACCATGCTGAGAAAAAAAAAAAAAACAAGAATCAATCTATCAATTAGATTCCATGATGCCGTGCGTCTCTTCAGCAATAGATCACAAATGACGTCAAAATGTGGTAAGAACAAAAAAAAAAAACTGGCACACGAGGCGTAGCCGTGTGTCACTGAATGATGTTCTTACCACATTTCCACGTCTTCTGTGATCTATTACTGTACAAACACATAGCAACATGGAATCTATTTGTTTTGATATAATAACGAAGCAAAGGGTCGTTTATTTGTTTATTATCTATACTTCTGCCCTCCAATGGATCATAAGACAGAACTAATAAAAATTCCGCTTGTTATATAAAAATATATTGAGTGAAAATAAAGTAACACATTTTCACTTTCGATCTTTTCAACAAAACAATAAGAGATCTTCACATCCATCCAATCGATGCATGATTAGCAACAGTGTACACAGCTGCAGTGAAGTTCTAACGAACCAGCGTAGAAAGGAAACATCCTTCTTTCACAAAGTAACATTCAAATTAACCTTATCAAGTCCTGAGGCTCTGATGAGGAAAGCAGCTGGGAACTGATGTCCTCTGGGTGTTCTACTGGATGGAGAGTTATTACACTGCAATACCTCTGCATACTCTGAATGGGCTTTGACGAAATCGTAATCCTAAATAGAGTCCACAAATTTGTTAGCTGGGTTTCTGGTTCGTTCAGTTTCTCGCTATTTAGAATCAAAGGACCTCTATGACTCGGAATATTCTGTGTTTGTAGAAGCAAAGGTTTGGAATTTTTTATTTTGGAACGAGGCTTGTGAAGCTACTGATTAAAACTTACGTGAAAACCAATAAAGAGAAATGTCGGTCCTTGAAGAGTTAATATCCATTTCAAACAAAAGACAGCCCAACCTTCTCATATTCGTTCAATCTGGCCAAGTTATTTACAAGTATTTGGAAAATAAGAATGTTAAACACACTCTCTTTGGAAGATTTTTCTATGATAGCCGTGTAGGATTAAAATGATTTAAATTTAACCCTTGAAAGTTTTACAAAAGAAATGCACACAAATGAATATAAATGAATGCTTCCCAACACCGCAAAATCTGTGTTCCCTGTAGCTAAATGCAAATTGATGGTAAAGATTAACTATACACCAGGCAATTTGAGTGAATTTTAATTGCATTTTATCTAGTTTTAGTTTACCACTGCCTCACCCTTACCCATTTACAATCTAACATCAGTTTAAATTCTCCATTCTGTTCTCTATACTGTGCCTAAGGTGCTGCTCAGGAATATTTGTTTAACAATCAAGAGTTTGTTAGTTGGTGATTATTTTTTTTCACTCTCGTGACCTTAACGTTTGACTTGGGTGTCATATTGCAAGGAGAAATTATTTACTGGTCACTCTTAGAGTCAAAGGTTTCACAGGATCTTTGCAATGAAGCCGCTGAAGGGGAATTTCAGGTAACCCATTCGCTTTGCCTTTCCTTTTCAGACAAAAAAAGGTTGAAAATGTTTGCCTACCGCAAGGTGAGATTGCTTACTTTTAAATTCAGTTCAATCTTGATAATAATAATAAAACAATTAAGGAAACGACGAAAAGATTAACCTGATAATGGTATTAAACAAACTTGATTACCTCTCTACGGACTGTCGAGATTTCAAACGGATCACCCATGTCATGTCCAGCTAGAAATATAAACAAGCAAATATTGATTAAGCGTGAGAACTGGACACAATCCACCCTAGTTAAATTTTTTCTTTTAGAGCTCACATTCTCCTAAAAAGAGTAGAGACACCATGCTCATTAAGTAAAAAATACCAACCTTTTTGGATATTTTGTGCAAACTTGGTACGAGCTGCTGGCCCATTGTCAATCACAATCTAATGACCAAAACATGAAGATTAATAACTGACGGTCTTGTCAAGTCTTGATGGACTTGAAGTTAGAATCAATATTGTATGTACTACTTCAGTTCTTTTTCAGTTTGTAAGCCTGTTTATGCTCAGCAAGTTACCGTAATTCTCTTCTTACTCTCCCCTCCCTTGAGGCCAAGTCAATTTTTCAATCCTCAATAATCCTTGACTCTCTGACCTAAGTCCCAGAGTACAACACTCTCTCTTCCGCATTCTCCTTGGGAGGATGAAACACTTGTCTATGACAGACTCAGAGCATTGTGTCAGTTTACCATGGCAATTCATGATATTTCTTAGGGTCCACAGTTTTGGCTAAAACTTTGGGGTCCAAGTAATTATTTTAATAATTTCAACGCGATTAAAATCGCATTGAATTATGTCACACCTTGCAAAACTATGCTCTACATATGATTTCTTGGACGTAATTTACGCATATCCGTACGCGTGTTTTCACGAAATGTAAAACACTTTACAGGTGTGATTAGTTGTATTGTCAAATATCCCTGATGAAGAGTGCGCGAAGGAGAAAATAAACGAGTCATGCAACTACTTGTTTGCAGAGGTGTTGCTTACTGCTTGACTTAAAAAAAAAATGCAGTATAGTATACTGTTGGCAAAGAAAAAAGTAGTCGTTTAAGGAAAGTGGTTAGAGAAAATTCAAGAATAAAAGCTGAGAACTAATAGGGCCACTACTTATCACTATTTTCTGCCTGTTGCAATTGCGAAAAGTACCCTTCAATAGAACATATACCGTAGCAGGCAATACAGTACGCTACTAGCTTTTTCCACTCTTTGGTTTTGAAACGAGCACGTTTACAATTCGAAATGCGTTCCTTGTTAAATGACTTTAAATCAGTTTTCCCAGACAAAACTTCCATTCAAGTGCCTACTGCATGTCGAATTTTCTTCGTGTCAATTTAGAGCTTCTATATAATTTCGTAGCGTTAATCATTGTTTAGTTGGTCGCTTTCCAGAAACACACGACTGAAGAAGTTATCCTGAACACAGATGCGCTCTTTTAAGACGTTTGGGCAGTGGTCAATTATGAGGGAGTTATTCACAAAAAAAAATCGCTTTGATAAGAAGGTTGACTGTCTAAGAGTAGCGGCAATTACATCACTACTTACTGAATAGGCAGGGCCAACAGCAATGCGAGCATGGCCAGTGAGAGTGGCAATCGTAACAATGTGTGTGGGAACTTTCTCTTCGAGAGCCTGAAAAAAAAAAAACCATTACACATTTACTACTGATACAATAATGAAACAATCACTGGGATGTAAAGAGAGATTCATCTAGTCTTG